TGATTCTAACATACCTCTGCCCTGCTCGCAGTGCTGCCCGATGTGGTGTTGCCCCAGAGGAAGGGGGATGGCTTAATACCGGCGAAGAGTATGGTTTTTCCCTGGCTAGCTCAGCGGAGAGCCTCGGCAGCGCGGCTCCGGCTCCTGACCTGTAGCTATGACTAGCGGAGGCGTTTCGGAGCGGGCTCGGTGGCGTGCAGGGTGTTGGCCCTCCAGCTCTGCAAGCAGATGGGTGCCCCTTGGCAAAAGGGAAGCATAAAGCAGCAAAAGCTCGCACTCGTGGGTTCGCTGCAGCTTAACGACCCGTTGTGGATGTGTGTCCCCCCGTGTCTGGGATGTCCAGGCTCTGGGCTGATCTGCAGTGGGAAAAGAGGGTGCTGGAAGGAAAGGCTAACCCAAACTCGGGTGGTGCCGGCGTGCGGGTTGTGATCTTCCCTTGACCACGATACCTTCAATTCATGTGGCATGGTTTGCTTGGAGGGAAAATCTCTCCCTCCCCATCAGCCTGCTGGACTCTGTCACCTCCCGTGGGTCTTTGGCGGGGCTTCAGGCATCTTGTTGCAGCTGTGCCTTATCCCCACCGAGGCACCCTGCCTGCCAGAAACGGGCAGCATCAAAGAGCCGTGGATTGCCAGCCCCGGGGAGATGAAAGCCTGGCAGCCTCGCTGGAGCCCTGTAGCTCGTTTGATGCTGAGCGCAGAGTCTCTTTCATACGGGTGATGTCTTGCAACAGTAATAACTCAGGAACCCCTTTGTTTTCTCCCCAGCACTGGCAGACGCGAGGCAGCGAGGAGTACGAGGCTGAGGGTAAGAGCAAGCAGTGCTTGTATGTGCTTTTTCTCTTTTAAAGATGAATCGGAGGAGCCCTTCGGCAGGGTCTCAGGCCAGCGGGGTACGCTCAGCAGCCCAGCCTGGTGTGGTGCGGAGCTCGGTGAGGTGCAAGCGAGCCCTGAGCTTGCCACAAAAGCTTCCTTGGAGGGCACAGTCTTGTGCTATACCCTCTGTGCCCTATTTTCTGCCTCCTGCCCGGTGCAAAGGCTGCCCTGCTGCAGGCGCTCCCCGTCTCCCTGGCCCCAGCACCTCCAGAGCAGCAGCCAGGGGTGGTCCTGGTCCCCACTCCTGCCCTGGGGCTGGCTGTAGTGGAGCACGGTGGACACTAGATGTCAGCACGGGCCAGTCATTAACTGTCTCCTAATTGTCCTGTCAGGGAGAGTAGGGTGACCTGCTCCTTGTCCCGTATGGATGCAGCTTGCAGGGCTTTGGGGACTGAGCAGGGATGGCAGTAGGTCACGGCTTTGCTCTGGGCTGGAGCCAAAGGTTTTTCTGCCGCTGGTTCAGGTGGGGATGGTCGAGGGGACCCAGCAGTGTTAGCGAGCCATGCCGCAGCAAGCTCCTCCTGTCACCAGGCTGGCAGGCTTTGCCACTGACCCTCGGCATGCAAAGATATGTTGAAAACGAAGACACCCAACTCTTAATTGCCTCAACACCTTTTCCATATTTCAGCCACTCTAACCCTTATCCTATCCAAAGGGACTGAATTTTGGCTCCAAAAAGCTGCTTTTCCAGCCCCAGGCTGAGGCATCCGGTGCAAGGAGGTGGCCTTGCAGCAGGGCAAGCTGTTTTGTGTATAGTGAGTGCTTCCAGCGGGGTGAGGCCGCACTCCAGGCATTTGCTGGAGGTGGAGGAAGTGTGTTCAGCTGAAGGCTATTGGCTTTTTTCCTTCTCCTGAGGTGTTTGGAAGTACTTGGATCAAAACAGACACTGCAGTTTACAGTCAAAGCTAGGAGAGTTTAGGCAGCTCCACCTGGGGTGTGACATTTATGGAGAGAGGCAACCACTGAAGCTCTAGACCTGGTCAAGGCATATATGGATATGCAACCTGCTCAGCCCTCTCCCTTGATCACAAAACTGCCCAGAAGAGGGGGGGTACCTTCTCCATCCCACAGCGGAGGCAGCAGGGCTGTGCTTTCCCTGGCTACCAGCCCACGCTGGCCGTCGGACTCCTCCACATCCTCAGAGATCCTCCTGGACGCAGTCCCGGCTGCAGCTCACCCTGTGCCTGGATGCAGGGTTCCCTCGCCTGTGGTAGCACGTAGGATTGGAATGCTGAGCAGGATTTGCTCCTTCTGGTTGAGTCTGATAGCTGTGCTGGCAGCCGTACCCCAAAATGACAAGTGGGTTCTGTGCAGGGTAAGGCAAGGCAAACGGTCCCATGGGGTCTGGTGAGCAAGGAGGGGGGTCTGCCTACTGCAGCAGCAAGTCCCCCTAGATCTGGTGATCACTCGTGTGCAGCGGATGGGCAGAAACCAGAGCAATTCCCCCCATTTCCAGGGCAGCTGCGCTTCTGGAACCCAGATGACCTGAACGCCTCCCCTGGAGCATCGCTGCCCACCCCGGACTGGATAGAGGAGAAGCTGCAGGAGGTCTGCCAGCACCTTGGCATCACCAGGGACGGCCACCTGAACCGCAAAAAGCTCATCTCCATTTGTGAGCAGTACGGGCTCCGAACGGCGGCCGGGGAGGTGAGTGGCCACCTACGGACCCGCTCGCCCCAACGCATGCGCCTGGGTTTGACCGTGGCCCCTGCGAAATCTGTCCTGAGGTTGACCACAAGCACAAGTGCTGGTTAACAGGTTGCTGCTTGGAAAGTGGTTTTCAGCTCCAGCTCGTGGTTTTCCAGGGATTTTGTTGGTATCAAACCGCCAGGCGTGGGAGGCTGCTCTAGTAGAAGGCAGCTGCCAGCCTTACTGACACCGCAGCGTGCGTGTCTTCGCATGCAGTCGCAGGGTAAACTGGAATTTAAAAACATACCCTAGATTCCAAGCGTGTCTCCTTAATCCCAGAAATCTTCTAACTAGACAGTAAGGATGGGTTAAAATATTCGTAGATGGTTGCTTTTGGCTTTGAGAAGGCCTGTGGGCAGTTTCTGTCCTCCGGGATGGGTCCAGAAGACAATTATTTCTTTAGCAAAAAGTCCCTTGTCGACTTAGGATTTACTTTTTTAATAAAAAAACCTGTTTTGCATCTTAAAATAACATGGCTTGCAATCATTTCCTTCATAAAACATGTTTCTGAGCAGGTATTCCCTTGCAGCGTCTGTGACAAAATGTTTTCCAGGATATTAAGGCAGAAAATGGAAAAAATAAACTGTAGACAGAGAAAAAGCGAGGGACTAATCTTAACAGCTCTTGTCCTAATAAGGTTGGTCCTGCTTTTCAGAAGGCAGACTGCCCTGAAGCATAAACCAGATTGATTATAACCTTGCAATGTCTTACTGTGGGTTTGGTTTTTTTTTGCCTTCACAAGCTGCTGGGGGTTTGGCATCTCTCGCTACCTTGCGCTGAATTCTTGAGGTCACCCTGTCCCTAGGGGAGAATGGAACAAGGGGTTTTCATGCTGCCTCACAAGGTGGAGGCTCCAAGGTGACCAGGAGCTCGCAGGCAGCGTTTTCGCGGTGTATGGGACTCCGCAGTTTTCTAGTTGCTGTGCCAGCGTTCGGCCGATGCGGTGTATCCGGTAGCTCTTTGCTTGGCTCTTATTCTTTGCAGAGCCTTGAGAAGAGGAGGTTTTCGGCTCTGCCAAATTGTTACGGCGGTGGTTTTGGCAATGATAGGTGTGATTTCTATCCCCAGGTTCTTGAAGAGGTGCTCCATAACCTGGAGCAAGATGGCACCATGAGCATCGAAGACTTCTTCTACAGCTTGTTAAAAAACGGGAAGTCGCTGACGCCCTCGGCATCCACTCCATACAGACAGCTGAAACGGCATCTCTCCATGCAGGTGAGACACCCGGGGGTAAAAGCAGGAGGAAGGCGAGAAGTCCTGGGTGAATTCCACCTAGCCTGTCTCCTCCACGTTTGTCCCTGTGGTGGGGCAGAGCTGGGGATGTGGGTGCCACTGTCTCTGCCCCGAGCGAGAGCAATGGGGTGAAGCCGCTGCAGGTTTCTTCTGGATGTGCTGAGAGAGAGTGCAGAAAGCACCCTCTGGTCGCCACTCCTGCCCTTTTGGGAGCCCTTTAAAGGCTCCCCTTTAAAGTAGCGGGGCTTGGAGGTGGCTCTTGCAGGCTGTGTTGTGCGGTATGTGAATGGTAGAAACTGGGAGCAGGGGAAGCGGTGGTCTGGGATAGGCTGGAGAGACTGTGGGCATGCAGGTCCCACATCTCTAATATTATGATTTTTGAGAGAGACACTGAAATCTGCTGTCTGTCTTTTCCTGGAAGCTGAGGGCTATAGCAAAAGCACCTGGGTACATGCTCCCTGCAGCCTTTTTTAAGGGAGGTGATGCTTGAAGCCAGAAACAGAGTGGAAAACACTTTTGGAACACTGAGGACAGCTCTGAAACTGTTCCTCTTCGGATTTATCGTAAATCCGAAGCGCCTGGCTGCGGTGCCGTGAGGTCAGCAGCACCGCTCCTGCCGGGTATTTGCTTGGCAGTGAGGAAAAGCAGCCCTTAATCCTTAATCTCCAGAGTACTGTTAGAGAAATTACATTTATAAGCCTTTCTTGTGGCGGGGTGGCCAGATGCCTGGCTCTGCCCGTGCCCCGTAGCACCCTCTCCCCTCTCCCAACAGTCCTTTGATGAGAGCGGGAGGCGCACGACCACCCCTTCGGCCATGCCCAGCACCATCGGCTTTTGCCGAAAAGCAGCCCTTAATCCTTAATCTCCAGAGTACTGTTAGAGAAATTACATTTATAAGCCTTTCTTGTGGCGGGGTGGCCAGATGCCTGGCTCTGCCCGTGCCCCGTAGCACCCTCTCCCCTCTCCCAACAGTCCTTTGATGAGAGCGGGAGGCGCACGACCACCCCTTCGGCCATGCCCAGCACCATCGGCTTTTGCCCCTCTTCCCGCTGCGTGGAGGCTGTCCTCGACTGCTGGCACCAGGAGGGCATAGACAACAGCCAGGAGATCCTGAAGGTAACCAGCAGCTCTGCATCACCCCTTCTGCCTTTTATTTTTCCCCTGGTGTGGGATGCTGGACTGTAGATGGATTATTTTCCTTCCCACACCCATTAAAATTCCCAGTTCTAGTGACAAGAGTCTAACTGGGCTGGGAAACTTCAAGTAATTCCTTTGAAATGATGGGGCATCCCAGGGAGCTGGAAGTTAATGATAAAGTTGGGATGTGAGTTCCAGCTCAGCTCGAAGAGGTCACCTATATTTGTGGAGAGCAACTGAATCCCTTCGCCTCGCTGAATTAGCTGTACCCGCAGAATTTGAGCGCTGGGATGACCTGAGTTATTGCTTGTGCTGAGGTGGAGGACGAGGCTTGAAACCCTGCCCAGTAACTACCCTGTTCCTGCACGGAGTGAAGGGGTGATCAGATCCATAAAGCAAACCCCCTCCCAGTCCATCGCGCTAGGAGCTGTGGGTGGGAGAAGATAATTTCACGTGGCTGTTCAGGGACCATCGCTGGGTTCCCAGCAGCGCTGATGGTGGGTTTCTCTTGGCTTTTAATGTCCGTGTGGGTGCTGACCACCCAGGCTGTGATAAACTGCTGTTTCTCAGGCTTTAAAGCTCACTCGTAGCCTGGGCTGGCACAGGCCAGCTCGGTACCCTGGCACTGCTTTCGCCAGACTCGCGTGGTATCACAGCATGGTTTGGGTGGGAAGGGACATGAAAGACTATCCGGTCCCACCCCCCTGCAGAGTTAGGTTGAAGGAAATTGCAAGCAGTTGCTGATAATTTACTTCCCAAGAGGTGGGATCTTTGCTGTCAGATACCTCCTACGAGGCTGCTGCTGTTGTCTCTGTTGCAAGAGCTGGTTTTGTTGAACATGAACATCTTCAGCCGCTTCCTTGCGGCATGTGAGTATTCAAAAAGGTCGGGGTAGTTATGTCCCCTGGAGAATTAATACATTTAATCAAGCAGGGTCTTAATTTCCTGTTGGTCTCGCAGCACAACGAGGACGGTTTTTCCGTCTCCGCAGCTGGCAGCAGCCCTGCGACGGAGGAGGGTAGCAGAGATGTCTGGTTTATTGCCCCACAGGCA